TGGTCCAGACTAACTCCTATCTTACTTGCTAACCTTGCAGACCACTAGACGAAATCACGTTTTTTCCTTAATGAATTTTCTAATCATGTTTTACTTCTGTTGTAGGCATGGTTTAATTTTTTATGGTGTGAGTTTTATTTTTTCGGCTTATTTTTATTGCAGTTAGGTTAGTGGGTGATGCCTGATGTGAACTAAACACTTTCTCTTCTACCAAACCACACGACTCAATTTAAGATAAATTGTTATGAGCACATTGATAAGAATGTGGGACACTTATGTTGCAAATTACCTATTAACCGGCTTTTGGAAATACTGACTGTTGAAATTTTAAATACTGGCTCAGAGGCATATTATACGAGCATTGATAGAGTTTGGTTATGCTAAGTCTTCTAGTATTTCTTTCAGAAAATCATCGCTCAACTGTATGAATAGTTGGATAGCAAAAATCAAAACAACAAGACCAGAATGACTGCTCAACTATCAAGGGATAGGGCTTCTTAGCCAACTATTCAAATGGATCTATGGATTCTACCAATCAAACTAACAATACTTTAAGCCTTCGACGGTAGTTCTTGTCTTTTATTTGAAAACGCACAGAGTGATACAATAATACCTTTAAGGTAGCATTCATCATGGAATGACATCAGTTGGAGAATCCTTGAAAACCTGAAAGCACTGGACAACTGTCTCATCCTAGCATGGGGTTCCTCAGAACCACGCACCTTCAAAACCCATCACGGATCGAACTCAGCGACTTCAGTCTTCATGGCGAAAGCGTTAACCATTCAGACACTGGGAAGAGCTGAATACTCCACAGTTTCCTAATTCTGTCAATTCGTGACCATCACCCAAAGTCTTCAGTTGGCAACCGTTTCACTTCCGAATGGTTGACCCTATAAGTCATGGCTTCTCATTAGAACATCGAGATATCCATCTGGAAGTATGTCACTAATGTGGAATATGCAATAATTTTGAGGTTAATGTGGGTTTTTATTTTTGATGTGGTATTCATCAAGATCTGAAACCAGTTAGAGAACCACTGAGAACCTGCAACTATTAGGCAACCTTTCTTCCTAGCACTGGACTCCTCAGCAGTGTGCACCCAGGACATTCAGGTTCCGCGGTCAGCAAATTACCATGAAACCATTAGGGTGGGATTCAGTGGTCCACATCTTTCTACTTCTCTCAGTTCACGATGTAGTAAGACCTCCATCCAATGCCACTGTTAGGCAACTGTGCTCACGACCGACTTGGTTTGCCCCACTGGTCACAACTTCACACTTTTGTCTAAGCCATGGGTGCCCACTGCTGAGGAGCCCCTTTACTAGGACGAAACGACTGTCTAGTTCGTGAGGAATGCCAAATTGTAAACAGTAGTGTCAATGACTAAAATGGATAAACCGCTAAACTAGTCAAGTGTCAGTCGTAAATATTCTTCGTATCCAAAAGTAACAATTGGTTATTGTAAATGCGCACACCAATATGGTAGATTAGGTTAACAGGTCGTCACTGAATATTTACGAATGAATATTTTTTTCTGAGAATCCAATTTTTAAATAATTGGTGGAATTTCGACACATTACTGATGACGTATTATTGTGATAAACTGTATTACTGAATGTTGATTCAGTTTTTCGCTGTATGGAATACTTTGTTGCCATTGTATGCTGTATTTTTGTGATATTGATTTAAAAACGGAAAGGATTATTTCATACTGATTTATTGGTTCTTTTTACAAATTTCAAGGATTTACTTTTTCATTCCCATTTTGTTATCACTGAGTAGTGAATGATAGTGAACTTCTTGGGGGGAGAGGTCTTACCCTACTATTCGTTATCACTTGTCAGGTTAGTAAATGTTACTGAGCTTAGTAAACAGCATCCATTGTTTCAAGCATCATACAGTGACTTACTAGGTTATCTACGGAATTGTGATAGCCACCTCCAGTTTACAACTGTTATCTGCTACTGAAGTTTGAGGTTTACTGCTGCTGACTATGAAAGGAGATAAAACTGTAGCCTTCGTTTATTGACAGAACAGATTCATTTTTTGAGATCTGAGTATGAGATACAAAATGTGATGGTACTGTTGAGAAAACAAGACACAGGAAAGACACGTGGATTGATCAGTACCTTTATCACAATAGTTTCTCTCCTGTTAGCTATAAGCATGGTCGTTTGGTCAGGAAGCTATTCGCTATGATAAGAACCCTATGTTCGAAAGGTAAACAGGAGGAACTCTCCATCATTGAAAAGTCTCTTGTAGAGAATGGATATCTGAAGAAATTCATTATGAAGCATGAAAAAGGATTTGATGACAGACACGAACACAAAACTGTTGAGGGAAAACCTTTTTTCCTTCATCTAGCACTCAAGGACGATAAGATATCTAGAAGACTAGACAGAAGAATAAAAGCTGCACTGAGAAACAGCTTCCTTGCTCCCACACTAATCTCAGTTTACAATACAGTATGCTCAATAACACAATCGAAAGTCGACAAATACTCATTTCACGTCACTTTCAACTGCGTATATCAATTCACCTGTGCTGGTGGAAACAAGTACATAGGATGGATCGAACAAAGAGTGTCTACTCAACTTTATGAGCATATTCCGAGAAATCTGTTTTTGAATGGTAGCAGGGTCTTTAAGAGCGCAATCGCTATGCACTTGATGGAAACAGGACATGAAATAAATGTTTATCAATCCTTCAGGATAACCAACAAACAAAGAATAGCATATTTATTACGGTTTGTGAAAGCTGTCACCATCAAACGCTTTCAACCTGATCTTTGTTTGCACTCAGAAAGAAACTTTAATTTTACCTCTCTTTGGCCTGGTAGTTGTATGTACCCTTTACACATGTATGTATATAGTTTTCCTATTTTGATTGCATCATTTCTTTATTCATTACTTGCTGACTGTTAATCATTCTTAGCTTAACGTTTTTCTAGTATTTTGTGTAATTACGTGATCTACTAACACCTAAGCAACCCCTTCTTTTGCACTGTTGTCTGTATTTTGTTCCCCCTCTCCACTGCTGCAGATTCTTCAATCTCACCAGAAATAAATTGCCATTTTATGATCATTAATCCTGTACTTCCTTGACTCACTACTGTCTTATTGTTAATCTTGGATTCCGAATCTTCATTTGTTTCTACATATGTAAAGTATGTTATGCCATTGCACTACTCACATTTCACTTCAATTGTAGGCTGTTTGAAGCTGATGAAAGGCTCTGAAATAAAATGAGCTCACTTTATTCTTCAAATGTCTTTGTTCTTGCTTTATTCAAATCTGTCTAATCTAGAGTTTATTCCGTTCATGACCGTGAATAGTCACCAGTCGATCATCGTACGCCAATCCTAACAAAGGCGAAGTTGTGGTTCATTGCTGTAAACATCAGACTTCAAGCCGATTAGTTATGGGTCCAGAACCCGCTCCACCTACCGAAGTTTGGACGGTCAGATGGTATCATTGACCATCACATAGTAAGTGTGACCTATTGCCTTCACAAGGTTAGTGAGCTGATTTTTTTTCGAATTGTGTCAAAGTCATGAACTAAAATTACTGATTTCATCATCGGTTTAGCTTACAGTTTGCCTAAGCATCAACCAATCCAGTAAAATCATGCCTACATGTTCCAGCTATCGCTTCGAGAACGAATAACTTGACAATCATTGTATAATGAAATTGAACTCAATTTCTTATGATATAAACTTGCTCTGCATCTAACAAGGCATCACTGCTTCAAAGTGCCTGACGAAACCTTAAGCTTCTTACTGAAGTTCATAGTCAGTACTTTCCAATGAAGAAGTCTACATTTTATTGTTCCTTGTACTTTTCAGTATTGAGATAGGAAGCAGCCACCTTGATATTTGTTAATAATTAAGTTGGACACTTTTTTTTTAGCAAAATACTTCCGATTTCATGACATTCAAAATCGAACTACTTCCCAATGACAAATTTTCCCAGTGGATTTGACAAGGGACAAGTGCAGCAGCTGAATAGTAAGGTCCTGTGATACCATGGTAGGTACTGTAACCGACAATTTAATGTCAGTGAAGAATGCTGAGAAATAAGACATGCGAACAAATCAGTTACACCCGGTTTACTCACATCCAACCAGTAACATTCAGTTGGACATATCTGAGGGTAGTTCAAAGAATCCCAACACTTAATGGGATGACAGGCAAAAATACGCTTCCAATCCATCAGCCTCCCGAAACTCCTTTTCTCTACGCACTCTGATATGGACTTTTGCTTGAAAATACCGAGTTAATTACCCTAGGCTGGCCATTTAGACCAACTGACAGATTCATCTGATGAGAGTAAACCTTATTTTGTCATTCAATCTATGAAAATCAGATGCAGTAGTTTTCTGATTACTAGTTAACAGCTGTGCCTACGCAGTAGGCTGTGTCACACATCTTATGGGATGTCATGTGATACTACCTGGTCACCGAGACCAAATTAGAACGAATGGGGTTCGACCCTAGGACCTAATACTTACAAGTTGAGTTCCTAAGCCAACGAGACATATCTCCACACCTAACCATCTTGTAAATACCATATATAAACAGCCAGTAGTTTTAAGACCGTAGTTGTTTCCTTGACCAATGAAACATTTCCTCCAGTCTAGTATTAATCAAGACATCCGGAGTTGATATGCACACAACAGGTGAACTATATTTAACCCTAGTTTTGTAATGTTAATAAATAACTGGTATTTTATCGCAACCCAAAGTCCCAGCTACTATAAAAAGTGAAAAAATGGAAATAGAATGGGATTCCAGCCACACTGGCATTGGTATCCTTCTAAGCATAAAGCTATTACCAAGTTACTTGAACTATAACAAGTATGTAATTAGTAACATGAATTACTTTTGAAATAAACTAGAATTCACCACACTCCTGTTCATTGCTTCCTGTCACACCCTATTTAATAAAGTGCGGATATCAACGGACACATGCGTTACTTAAAGGAGGTTATCTATTGGTATGACGTTAATAGGCGATTCAAAGGTGAGTTTAACAATATGGCTCTTTCTATAGAGAAAGTTATTTAATTGCTGTCATTGCACGTGGAAACCAGATGGCATCGTACTCGCTTTTTATTATTACACTTTCAATCTATTCATCTGTACTCATTTAGACTCTTATCGCCATTGAACATTTTTAGCCTCAATCAGCTTGTGATTTACTGCTATCAACTTGTTGTTATAAAAAGGACGCAGTCGATCGGAAAGACGCTTTCATAAAATTGTCTTTATTTTAGAAATGTGGGGGGCCTGGATAGATTACTTTCTTCATAAAATAGTTAGCATAAATGTATTTTAGCGATCATATTCACCGATGAAGTTATGCGATATGAAGGTTCAAATAGTTGTTTATTTGACTGGTAAGTAATACAAATTTTGGCAGTTAACTCTTCACAATGGTATCTGATACGGTAAAATGTATTGTTCACGTGTGTGTGTGTGGTCAGGTAGAATCCAATTATTTTAAGAAATATTAACAACAATCTAGGCATTGGTTAGAGTTAGATTAAAAGTATGTTGATGGAGTAATATAATCTCGCAAAAAGTTAAGGAAAGCTGTGTCGTAAAATGATCAATAGTAAAGCTTTACATCACATGACAAAAGACAACAAAGCTAGTGAGAATGCGGGTGTAATGGTGAAGTTTATGACGTGTGTGCATTTAGTTGATAAGCTTCATATTGAAGAAATGTCACTGAAAATCAATCGAGCGAAAAAATCATACTACCGATATGAAGGATCAATAAACAAAACTAATACTCGTTGAACAAGTGGTGGGTCTCATGCTCCAGTAGCCTAGTGGATAACGCTGGAGCTTTTGGAACGATGGGTACTGGGTTTGGGTCTCAGTGGGAACACTTCACTAGGATGCATCCACATCTAGCTGACGAGTCCCAAATAAGACGAAACGTACTTCCTTGATTCCACTGCTAGCTATCAAATAGATCACAATATCCAGGGTGTATCTAGGCATAGGAGCTCATACGCAAAGAGGTCGAGCAATTCGACCCAGTGTAGCAACGACGGAATTACAAGTATCAATAAACACTTATACGATATGACTCCTCAATATTTTGGTGTATAACCCACTCGAAAATAAAGTTTGTTAGGAGATGGCAGACGTAGGTTCATTTTCTTGCAATGATATGACGAATAATTTATTATAGAGCTTCTTTGCCGCTTGCAGTTTGATCTACTTAAAGAATTGTGGACACTTTAGATGAGAGAGTTGATAACTATTATTGAGGGTTTTGAAGGAGATTATTTACAACTGATTCCTTTGACGTGGGTGCATCACACCTTCCATACCTTATCCTCATCGGTTCCTCATATTTACCAATATGAAACATGGCAGCTTGAAATAATACTTAATTCTGCAAGTTATTTGTATATAAGTATCTGTCTATCTTCATCGTAGCATTTCATGATGCATTTCCGTGGATTTTATGTGTGGTTTACTTTAAAATATCAAAATTTTCTGTTTATTCTGGTCTATCAGTAGATAATGACCCAAGTGGTCTTAGCCTATCTTTTCAGATATTGATTGACTATCATATTTTCCAGGCCCTTATATTAGATGAGCCAACCTCAGGACTAGATCCTGAAGCACGTCGACAAGTTTGGGATATATTACAGGCGGAGCGAGCTCACAGAACAATCTTGATTACGACACATTACATGGATGAAGCTGACCATCTAGGTGATCGTATCGCAATCTTGGCTAGTGGTGAGCTCAAATGTTTCGGATCTCCATTGTTTCTGAAGGCGAAGTATGGTAAGGTGAAAAGTTATAAATTTTACAACTCTATCATATTTTATCGTTTTGTTTTACAAGTTGGTATTCGAAAGCGTTTTCCAGTTATTTAGTATGGGAAAATAACGATTAATAAGTATCTTCTTTTATCTTGACAACTTAATAATTCGGTTTAGCAATTGTCACAGGATTCTGATACTTTGATTGTTAAGGATTATCATGGAAACTGATAACCATTTATCGATGCCGATTTGACGAACAATTGCTTCAAGTTATTACTGTGAGTCATGCCTTTTCAAGTCATGTGAAGACTCTATGCCGAAATATGGTAAATAACGCTACACCCTAATCTCTTTTATACACGAAAGTAACAGTCTTTTGGAAAATAATCTAATGGTCCTAAATACTAACTCGTTTGTTGGATGACCTATAATCGCATACAGAGGTATTCTGCTGCACAGTTGGTCAATGCATCTTGGTTTTTCTTAAGGCAACCCTCATTATACACATCAAAATCATAACTTGTAACAACATTAACATTCAGTCATTCAAACAGCATTTTCCACTGATGATTGCTATGGGGGAAAAAGTTGAAGTACAAATCACCTTTCTTGTTTTCATTAGTTGTTTGTTTCATTCCACTTTAAGATGAAAGTCTCGGTATATTGTAATTTACTTCTTCAACATAATCAGTTAGTATTGGTTGTCATTTTTAATTCAGCTTTCTTGTTAAGCTAACTGAGATCATGTGTTCGATGAAGATAAAAGGAGACGGGGTTACTGCTTCACGACTAAAGCTAATCTCAAAATAATAATATTATATTGAAATTTTACTTTGAATATACAGTTTGCTGATGCGTATCCTACGGCTTATGTACATAGCCTTGTATTGTTGGTTGACGTCTACTTTTTAAGTTCATTATGTTATTAGGAAATATCTGTGGTAGATTATTAACAGAAATCAAACAAACAAACAAAAATTAATCATTCTCTAATAATGTTATCTTCATGATGTCACAATTAGAAGTACAATTGAGATTCAATTATCAACTTGTTGAACAATAATCTAACTAAACCAACCATGTGCTATCTGTTGCTAATTATACAACAGCCTTTTAGTGCCACCATAACTGTCTTCATTTCAATTCCCTGTAGCCTCATTTCAACTTTATTTCTTCTACTACAGGTGCTGGTTATTTATTGTCTGTTAATAAGGAATCCACTTGTTCTTCTGACCATGTATTGAAACTAGTTCAACAGTATATTCCAAATGCATTGATACGCAGTGATTATGGTGAAGAAATTCGCATACTGTTACCATTAGATTCAATTGATCAGTTTGCTAAATTGTTTCAAAATCTCGAATTAAACAAGACCAGCCTAGGTATTGTTAATTTTGGTGTATCTGTTACAACAATGGAGGAAGTATTCCACCAGTAAGTGATTGGGACTAAATCTATGCATAAATATTCCTTTGTGATATTAATTTAACTCCTTTTGGAGATCACAGTACAATATTCATCGTTTGCTTATTTCTCGTGAATATAAATGTCACTTTTGTTACCCGGGAAAACAATGAAACAAACTATTTTGTGGTCTATTTGATAGCTAGTAGTGCAATCTAGGATGTGCATTTCATCCTATTTGGGGCTCGTTGGCTGGCTGTAGCTGAGTGAGTGATATTGTTCCCACCGGGACTCGAACCCAGTACCTACCACTTCAGACTCCAAAGCTTATCCAGGCACGAAACTTACCACTTTTGCAACGAGTATCAGTTGTTTATTGATACTTGTGATTTTCCAGTGTTATACTGGCTCGAATTATTCTGCCTCTGTTGGCAGATGGGTTATTGTGCGGATACCTCGATACTGCCCGTATATTCATTAGATTGTCACCTATTTGATGGCTAGCAGTGGAATTTAGGACTCATGTTTCATCCTATTCAGAACTCGTCAGCTGGGTTTGAGTCTCAATTGGGACAACGTTGGATACATCCAGATAACGAGTCGTGAAGAGAAAGAAATATGCGTCCTGGATTCCGTTACTAGTCATCAAGATGAATACAAAATCACTAATATCCGGACAGTATCGAGGTAATCTCATATGAACCCATCTGCCAATAGAGATTGAGCAATTGGACACAGTAACCTCGCCTAGTATACTAGTTACTAGCCAGTCGTAAGCCTGCATGAAGAGGGAAGGTTGAGCGAAGGGCTAGCAACCCACCCCGGAAAACCAATCCAATCGCTAAAGAAACTTCAAAGCACAAAGAAAGCATAAAAAACATAAGCAAACTTATTCCTTTCTGGAACCGGAGAGACGAAATGACGCCGGTTGGTGAAAGCCTTCGGGAAGCCTATTCGCCGATGTGTCTTCTCGCGATGAAAGTGAAAGAAAACATGGGGATATGGAATGTCCGCACCATGTTTGAACCTACCAAAGATGCCCAGATTGCAAAAGAAATGAGGATATATAGCATAGAAGTGCTAGGAATCTACGAGAAATCTGCAGATGGAATGGAAGTGGATAGTCAATAATCTCCTCCGATATTGTCACCCAGACGACAACCACGAGCACACTGAGTTTTCGAGTGTTTATCATGATGTCCTCCTCCCCCCTCACCACCATCACCACCACCAAGAGCCTCAAAGACTCTCTCTCTCATGCAGTGGGAACCAATCTCCTCCTGCAAGATTACGATCACGATTAGGATAAGGAACAGGATCATGACAGCAAGATTCAAATCACGAGGAAGGAAAGTCACAATCAACTGGACAACTGGAATTACTACTCGACAAGACTGGACAAGACCACACATCAGTTGGCGACATCAAAATCCATTCCAATGCAATGGGTGCGGTGGGGTGGGTTGGGGTGACATGCTTTAATGAGAAACTGGGGCGAACAACACAGGAAGAGAAGTGATCGTGGCATGGGTGGAGAAGCAGTCGATGAATTGATGAACGAGAATAGAGAACTGTTTGCAGACTTGTGTGCACTCAACGATTTGGTGATTGGAGGCTAGGCAGTGTGTACAATCACAAGGATATTCACAAGTCAGCCACATGCATTTGATTTCACCAGACACCAGAACAAACCACACTAAAACTCAGATCGACTTCATCTCAACCTGAAGAGAGTGGAGAGGCAGATAGCCTACTGGACACGAGATCACATGAACATGAAGATGAAGAAGGGGAGCAGATGTAGGCTCACACCACTCACTATCTAGTGTAAGGAACTTACCTACATACCTACCTACCCACCCAACTTCGAAATCAAGTTGAAAGCATTCAATTCAAGGAAGCTGGTGATAGATAACCACAGTTCAAGTTGAACACCCACAACACAAACTCAACTCAACTCAACCGAACTGAAGGACGAAACTTCAAAGGACATCTCCATGTCAGTCAACCATCAGGACAAAATGAGAGATATTGAGCAACATCTGAGGAACACTGGAACTGTTTGAAAGCTATGTGGAAGGAAACCTGCATAACCGTGTTAGAAAGGATGAAGAAACCAGACAAGACAAGACCAGAGAAGACAAGGAATGGGATGGAACTCGACAGACACATGGAAGTTGATGGAGGAGGGAGAGGAATATGGTGATGGTGAAGCAGAAGATGAACCAATGCAGTACAGTGCAGTGCAGTGCAGTGCAGTGATGAGTAACGAAAAGAGGAAGTGAACACAACCTATAAAACACTACACTGGACAAAGAAATGAAGAAGAGTGGACGGAAAGACAAAAGACACTTCTACGACACATTGACAAGTTAGGCAGAACAGGCTGTGAGTAGGAGAGACAGAGACAGAGACCTGACAACAGTGTATCAAATAATCAGGTTACTATCTGAGAGGGGAGAGATCAACGGATGTGAAACCAGTGAAAGATAGTGGAGGAAACCTAGTTACCAAAGGAAGAGGAGAGACAAAGGAAACGATGGACTGATCACTTCAAAAAGACTCTTGAGTTGACCACCACCACCACCACCGACGCCTGCAACTCGTCGAGAAACACCACCAGCAGCAGCACAGCCACAGAATTACCAGTGAACACAAGCCCTCCGACAAAAGCAGAAGTGAAGTCCTGAATGCCAGAAAGTTGCTGAAATCCACCAAAGCAGCAGGACCAGATCGAATTCCTCCAGAAGCACTGAAAACAGACGCAGAGACATCAGAAGCCGACATGCTGACACCACGATTGCAGAAGGCTTCGAAGGAGGGAAGGGAAGGTACCTGTTGATTGAGTGGAAGAAGGGCTAACTTGTCATACTTCCAAAGAAGGGCGACCTAATGCCAGTCAAGTCATTGCTTGTATGTGTTGGTTGCGAAACTTGGCGCGTGACGAAAAGCATTTGCAACAAACTGCAGACATACGTCATGAACAGCTGCCACGTACGCTCACTCGCTCACTCGATACTGAAGATTAGATGGATGTCCAGAAGGAATATGCAAGAATAGGAACTCTGGGAACGAAACAAGAACCCATCGTCTAGCAAATATGCAGAAGAAAGTGGAGATGGATTCAGTGGTATTGGATTGTGCATACACTGAGAAGACCGATAGGGGTGATCACGCGCCACATTAGGCCAGGCCGGGTCATCGAGTGGAAGCCAAAGGGCGAAGTTGACATGGAGATGGTGATAAGCACTTCGTACATAAATCGTCTTAATTACTTTAACACTAAACGTTGTTTGTTTGACTTTTTACTGCTTATTATTATAATCATAGTAACAGTTGCTTTATTCCAAACAACGCTTGTGGCACAGTATAGAAGTCTCAGCATTTAGTAGGTAAACAAATTCATTTCCTGTACGACATCTTTAAGCGAAATAATCATTACATTTGAATAATGTTAGTAATAACAGTAATAAAAGCTATAATGTGAAATTGGTACATGGTATAACACTAGCGTCTGGTTTGAATTGGTGAATGATTAGAAAATTGAGCTTAATTTTGGTGGTGTTAGTTGATTCATCCAGTACCAAAATCTGCAGTTTGACATGATTATCCAAGGAAAAGTAATGTACTATATTTCTGTGTATTTATAAGCCCATCTCTTACCGGTGCATTGTTTTTTCGTAGTTTTGTTGTCAGCTTAAAAAACGGCAGTTTGAAACCACTTTAAACGTGCGCAAGAATACATGACACGTTTAAAAGATATAATTAAAAGATTAAAACAAATTAAAATGGAAGAATTTGATGAAATATGTTAGGTGGAAATTTCTCGTTAGCCCAAAGTTTAAGCTGGCCGCTCCCCAAAATGATCAGTTTATGTTGTATAAGATGAAAAGCGGTTTTGTTGAATTGACAGATGTTGGTTGGTACATCACTACACTCTAGATTGAACTGCAGAGATATCCAAAATGACTCAGTGATAATGGTTTATGTTATGGAGACCAGGATTTACTAGTCAGCCAATATAAAAGAATCAACAGTAGCACATCATAGTAGTCTTTATGCTTAATCATTCTTGTTTCTAAGAAAAGAGAGTAATCTCCCTTTGGTAATCATACAGAAATCATTGTAACTAACATAGTTTCGAAAACCCTTTAATCTATAGTCCTCTGATTGCTCGAGAAAACCGGGGTGGTTTTAGATCGAAACAAGAATTTTATTAATAATTATCCATTTACATCCTCTGCTTCGGTGGTGAGATATGCGATTGCAAATCAAAAAACAAGAAAACTATACAGCAGTCAGCTCTATTTTCCGTCTATAGCTGTGAGACATGACTGTGTACATGACGGTGGACTATATTATGAATTTACAGATGCTTCATCATGGTCGTATATCTAGCAAAGATGCGACTGCATTTGGATGGAACTTGAAAGTAAGCATTTTTTTAAGTTGTGGTATAGAGCACTAAGTAGCGAAGAAAAGTCAATTGAGGAATTTGTGAAGCTGCATAAAATGACGTGGTCAGTACATTTGTTCAAGAAAGATACCTCAGTCAATCAATATCAGGATAGGACTAGGCATTACAATGTAACAGTTCAAGTTGACACACCTCTTATCAGCATAACAAGTAACAAAGCAGTAAGGTGAAAGTTAAAGAAAGGAAGAAAAATCGATCAAAGGCAGTGAAAGAGTGTTGTTGTTAAGATGAAGATGAAATGTGGATAAATCTGCGCCACTGACATCGGTTCTGATCCATATCACCTAAAGTCTTCAATTACTGGTTTCTGTTGTCCCGTGGTTCCCAACCGGATAGTCTGCATCTCCCTATATGACTCAGAATAACCGTGTTTTAGTCTGGCCGCCCGGAAGCCTTTTTCCAACTTGAGCCTACTTCTGCTAAACACTCTCCGACTGGGTAGACGGTGACTACTCGTGCGTAACACATATCCCAGCCATCTGAGTCGATAAAGGTTCACGACGTTATCAACTGACTTTTCTCTTCCCCCTAAAACTCTATACCTGGAGTAGAATTAGGTTGGAAATGATCTAAAAGGTTATTCTCTGTTAATCTAATCTTCCTGACCAATCTGATAATAATACGCCCAATCATGTAGTTTTATGCAAATCCCATGGTGAAGCTAATTGGTTCTAAGTGTTTTCAAGGATTTAAGACTTCTTGAGATCTGACCTTTAATACTGGAAATTACATGAAGACCAATATTTGAAGACACTGAGTGATATGATTCGAAATCGGTCACAATTTTATATACAATTTTAGTTGTAATATTCGGAATCTTCAACATTTTGAAGCCTACATTTATTTATGTTCTCCACTCTTGTCAGTTATTTTGTCGGTCTTTGCTTTCTATCTGCATAATTTAGGTAGTCTTTTTTGTGACACCCATAGTGTTGTCAAGTTATTTTTACTGAATTTCTATAAAGATATTTCCAAGACCTAAGGATTCTCCACCTTATATCAGACTTATGTTACATACGGTTTTTAGTGATATTGCATTGACCTGTCGTTTGGATTTAGTAGTTGTTTTTCTTCGACGAAGTGAAACATCAACTCAGATTAGTCTTGGAGCAACAACTCACATTCGGTAGATGAGAAATGCATTCGAACATCCTGAAATTGCCACTGAACGTGTCCAGAAGACATTGGGGGCCTATCCGACCTCATTTGATAGGACTGTAATCTGTGTACTTTAGGTCGACTAAGGACTGTCGTAGGATAAAAGGAATCTCTGTTAAGTGAGACGAAGAAAGATAGACGTTGATTAACAATGTTGATTGGCAAAATTCACTCCTGAAGAATGAATGGGATGGATATTCTTGATGAAGACTAATCGATATGGATAACTGATGGAATATCGCTATAGGGTGTAAGATGCTGATGGGTATCGGAATATGGGGTGTTGAACAGAGTGATATGTTTATCCGAAACCGATTTCAGTGAGAACCAGTTGTTGGTCATCATATCTGACTGCTATACGGCTAAGGAAACCAGTAATCTCCGACCGCCGTCCTGGAATAAGTCTGGTACAAGCCTATCTGACTTTCGTACCCCTGTTGGTTTCAAGTTACTGACAGCCTTCTGAACTTCTGGGACTGTTGAAGGGTTTATATGAGTGTTGTATTCAGATTGTGACTGCTTAGTGGTTAACTGAATAAATCGAACACTTCTCGTAGTTGAGAGTTTGCATGAGACAAAACGGTCTGGTTGCTGACGAAGTCTTATTAGTCCTGTTTAGGACTTTCCAACGTGCGTCTTCGCTGCCAACCACTGGCGCGATATCCAACTATCTGTTAAAGTCTATCATTTTTATATTGCGCTGACTTTTATTGATTTTAAGGATATGTCTTCATAAAAATCATGACTAAAATCTTTCATTCCAGTCCGCATATCCAGCTTATTCCTTGTCTATATACAAAATATTAACATTTACAGTCTAGTAGTTATGTAAATCTTTATCTCTCCGTGTTTTCTTTTCTCTGATTCGTTTTTCTTTATGGGTGTTTTATGTGATTCACATACTCGCTTCTTTGACCTTTTTGTGTTTAGAGTTAGTGAGCAGACAAAAGCTACTCCACCTACGAGTGGTTATGATCACAAAACTCTCAAGACACCGACGTGTAAAAAGAAATGCAGAGTCAGCAAAATACAAAGTATACAAGGTTAGTTGTTTTATAATATACACACTACTTTTAAGATATAATCGGTGTTGTGATTTTAAACTTTCGGTAATCAAGTCATCATAATGAATGATGTTTCATCCAGTGTGATATTAGGTGGATTTTCTTTGAATTTCTGGTAAATTTTAGTGAGTTTTTTGGTCTCAGAGTGATTCAAGATTATCCGACCGACAGCTGCTACCTTGACGTAGTGGTCGGGCTTGTATATCACAATGGCCCAACGGGCTATGCTGGTGGAACACTTGTTCCCTCAAGGTCCTACCATACCAGAAACGTCTGTTGGATAGTGGTTAGACGAAAAGCAGTTACCGTTGAAGTGTAAACGACTACACTATGGTGGGGGTCTGAGGACGAAGTCTTGCTGCTGCCAGTTGGATGGAGTGTGATAGGAGTAAGGTAGTTTCTCTTGGATGATCAGCGGTGCCACGTTGATACTATCTCTTATATGAGAAAGGGAGTCTCGGAAAGGTTGGTCGAAAAATAGTACACCTCCATTCCCCTGTGGTATGCTGGTACCTGCAACAGGAATTCGAAAGCAAAACACTAAGATCTCAAACTTGTAAAGAGGCCGGGTACGACAGGCCTTCTTATTCAGTTACCTCAAAAAGAACTAGCCTTCCATAGTGTGGAGAGCCAGGAACTGTCAACCACCCGCACATTTTCAGTAGTACATAAGTCCGTCTGTCGCTCGATTCAAAATCACATGACATCGTATAGCACTTTTGTCTGCTCAATGTTGAATTTTTTGTTATTCTATAGTATCTTACCATTTTGAAAATCACAATGCTTTGTAGGTGTTCGATCACTAATACCTTTTATTCAGATGCTCAAGGAAATTGTTGCTTATGTCCATTTGCTATTCACTGGGATAAAAAAAGATCGATGAAGTCAGTGTAATAAACATACAGATTGACTCAACTCAATACGTGTTTATGTACTGGACTGTAAGTCGCACTTGTTGTGTGAAGGCTTATGGTTCCGACTGACTGCCGGGTCCAAAGTGGAACGGGACTCGAACTGGAGACCCACTCCTTGAGAAATGAGTTCCTAAACCAGTGAGGCACCTACTAAAGCCTTAAGATAGTCAAACAATATATAGTAACCCCTTGGTGTCACTAATTATTGGTTGGTTGGTTGGTTGAGAGTGTGTGTGTGTGTGGAACTTAGGGATTTCTTGATTAGCGTTCGTATCACAAATAAAATCGACATAAGTCACCCAGATTTAACTACACATTGTCGTCATACATATCTTGACATACTGTATTCGTAAATCGGTATATTTTCGATCATTCTAAAAATGCTTTTAACGAATAGACAGGTAAGGTCTATACACAGTCTACAATCATTTATATTCATTACAACTTTGTTAAGGATAAATCTATCAACTTATTTATGTACAGCCAAATAATTTGCATAAGAACATCTCATCTCATCCTGATCTTATCTGCTTTTGAGTAGTTATGTGGTATAATGTATGAGTTTGATTGCATTCTAAAGAAAATGCTTCATATATGTTTCACGGAATTATTGCGTGTTCATCTTTAAACTTGCCGAAATTGAGCTTGGTGATGGGTTATTTCTAAAACGTCTGAAAGGTCAATGTTTGTTTGACTGATATTAACTTTTGTGCGTAAAATATCTTGTGATTTTTTTTATTGATCCTTCACTGCTTGCCTCTACTTGAGTTGTCAAATGTCTTACATTACTGTCAAGTGATAAATGTACAATGTTTCACTTAGATCTATATAAATTTCCAGTTGTATGACATTATGCCTTATTACATCGTTTTATCATCATGTCATTCATCCTCTTTCTTGATTAATGAATACTGTTACATATATATATATATATATATATATATATATATATATATATATATAATTCTAGGCTAACAAATTCCGGATCACTTAGTTTTAATTTACACGACCTCAGTCTTGAGAAACAAATCTTGATGGTGGCGAACATTTATAGTTCAGGGTGTGTAGATGTTCAAAGTGAGTGTAATCTGACTGGTCGCTTGGTGGGTGCGTGGTCGTATGCCACCCAGGTTAAGAATACACCCAAGCGACCAATCATATTACACTCAGGAAAGTGGCACGGTGTAAATATCCACACACAAACAATGACTACATTCTCCTGTGAAGTTTTGATGCACTGATGATGATGTCCAACATGATTTTGAAACATTTGCCAAATAAAACCATAGCTCAGAAAATAACTCTAAAAAATCATAGTTCTTTAAACCGCAAGGTAGAATATCCAGATAGTAGAAATCTATATCCACACTTTTATCTTTAAATCATTTGATATGGGAGAGGGAAACAAGAGAGTGTAGAGTTTAGTTTAGAATTGCTGTTTCTTTCTTGAAACCTTCGAATTCATATTTTTAAACGCCATGTGTTTCAATTGCCTTACAGATTATTACGGTTTTATCTGTTACCTGCCACTTAGTGATTGACATTTCGCCTTAGTTGGTTGTATCGATACCCTTCTTATCATCAAAGAGTTAAATAAAATTAAAATACTCTTACTCAGTTTTTTCATTGCTGATAGGTTTTTTGTTGAGACTCACTAACTGATCTTTCATAGTTTGTGCATAATTCACGCAGAAAAAGAACTGCTTGATAAAATTTGAGTTTAAGGAACGCCGAAATCCTTTATTTGTGCACAGTTAGTCTGACAAGAATTTCTAATGGTTAACTCCGAACGTCTCATGCTGTCTCCCTTTTATATTTTTTTAATTCATCAATCCTCTTCCTGAAGTCATGGTGACCGTGAGAAATAAAGAAGTTGAACGTAATTACTTTGAACTCACAGTAGTGACAGAACTTTTAGATTACGAATTCTTCAACTATGCGCTTAAATGTTGTATTCTTACTCCATTTGTGTAACTAGGTTGCACTTTATACAAAGTTTTGAAGGATTGTTCAGAAACGTTCAAGTGCCATGAGTTTGTTGGGTGTTTGGAATATACTTTTCCGTGTGCCTTTCGTCAGTCAGACTGGATAGTGGTCATAAGATGTTTTGCAATAGAAAGTACACATATCGATGTCGTATGATTCTGCAGCTTGATTTTTGTATATTGATGAATGAATTCCTGGAGGAAGAATATGATCCTAGGATTAGTGGTACATGAGATTCTGCTTATAGATCTGGGTAATCGTTTCTTAAGAATGTCTGCAGCATTGTTACCATTTTTGTTGTTGTTGGTTACATGCGCTTGATGACGCCTTTTAGCTTTGAATTATTATCTATGAATTTCTGTATCTTTTGGACATGGGTTCCCCACTTTACACATGGAAAGCATCTTGTTGTAGAGAGAACCAGTGTAAGTGACCCTCCGTGGGTTAATTTTAAGCTCAGTTTTTCTTCTATTTTTCAGCAATCCTACTTTTTAATCTTTACGGAACTGTATTATATGCTGAGACGGTAATGATGTAAAATGTTACAGTTGTTGAACGACTTGGTAAATGGTCACTTAAGCAGTATCTTTTTTCTACGTACAGTAATAACGTTGAGGAGAAAAGTATAGAGAGTTTTACTAGATCAAACGAACTTGTGTTTACTTTAATTAGCGTTGTCCTATCACCTAATCGTTTACTGTACCTTTTCTGATTGGTGTGAGTAGTGATAATTACTTCTGAAAGTATACCATAAACAATTTTTGTTGACTTTCCTCTTTTCCAATAGATAAGAATGAAACGGAAATTACTCAGCCATCATTTGACTGTAAGTGTTATTAACTACGTATATACTGCTTGTTACAGATCATATTTTGATCCACAACTTAGTTTATTATTATTTTTCGAATCGATTTAGTTGTCCTAACACAGTAGTCACGATAAGTTCCCTCTTTTAGAGCTGTATTATGCAAGCTACCTCTATTTGTGTATTATCACTGAGCCTAAATCGAACTACGAAAGTGTACACCGTCAACATTAAGCAAACACATGCCATTTGTGATTGTTCAGTCTGCAGCTAAAGGAAAATGAGCAACAGTAGCAGTTAAATTAATTAGGAGTGTGATACTAGTAATAGACATGATAATTGAACATCTGAAAACCGACTTCTCAATTTAGACAAGCTCCTCCTTCAGGATGAAAAGTTACTTACCAAGAGAAGGATATATTTGCCTTCTTCGTTTCACTGAAGTTGTTACTATTCAGCTAGGGTTCTGAGATTTATATGCAATGCAGATCCGTTCAACCTCTTCTCTTTCTGTAACTTTAACTACCTCATTGGTCTAGTGGATAACGCTTTGACATTTGAAGCGATGGGTATGAGGTGCGAGTCTCAATGGGAACAACATCACTCACTGGGGTGGACAGGTAGATCCAGCTGGGATGAAATGTACGTCCTGAATTCAACTGCTATTCTTAAACAAGTCAGTTTTAACTGCTAACATTTCCCATTCTGTTCGCTTTTTTGATGAGGCGAACTCTTCGTTCTTTCCTTGCTATTTCAGATTTCATTTCAGCCTTCAAATATTCTAACTTGTTTGTCAACTCGTCATCAGAACGTAATCATCACTTTCATCCAGTTTCTGTGATGTTTCGATTAGCGTACACTGATGTTAACTATGGTTGTGTCCATTCATTACCATATACCAGACATCATTGTGTTTATTCATTCTTAAATTTTTATCTCCTTCCGTATCTTCCAAGTATGCAGTATATTATGCTCATAAGATATTTGAAGCGCATATATCTAGTTTTCTGGTAAAAATATTTTTGTAATTACTTTTAGTCTTGATAGTCTTTTGAAAAAATAATCCTTTTGTAACTCTGTTGCCAAGACAGTCTCTGATATGAAGAGCTGAAGAGGGTATGGAATAAAAACCTTATCCACATAGTAGCCTCAGAGACTTCTGGTAACTGTAACTAGATTAAGTTCACTAATTCACCCTTTGTTTATCTTCGATGTAAGCAATCCATCGGTATCATCTGATAACTAGGTCTAAGGCTTACGTTATTTATTGATGCTTGTGATCGTTGTGGTTGACTGAATTGATTAATCTCTCCTGGGATATGGGCTCCTTGAACGAACACCTGGATATTGCCTCAAGTTTCATTTTTATGTTATTTACCTGTTGATGGTTAGCAGTAGTCCAGGACGCGCGTTTCTCCCTACTTGAGACTGATTAGCTTCATAGATGTGGCCCTGAATCCCAGTTACTTTTGGTCATCCCACTGGAACTAGAAACCAGTACCCATCGTTTCAAATACCACTGGGGTACTGAGCTACGAGAGCCACATATTGTGCCACGGGTATCAATGTTTAATTATTGGCGCTATAAACTCTCGCATTGATTATTGTATTGAACTGAATTGATCGGTTCCTCTGGGCGTGTGTACTCATTGAACAGATGCGTCACCAATAAAATGCAATTTATCACTGGTACAAATAATAATAATCGACTTAATTCATTCATATTTTTAGAATATTATTCTGTGTATCTACTTCTGTCTTTGTTTCTATCTCAGCTACAGATTTACATCAAGTACGGAATCATGGCTTTTCATTTTATCTCCAACAAACTTATGCTTTGATCATAAAGCGTTATATATTCACAAAACGTAATCTCATATTTGTTTCCAGTCAGATCGTGGTGCCCATTGTGTTCGCTTTTATTGCCCTATTCCTATTCCGTCGTCTACTGAGGATACAGAGTGCACCGGATCCACGCTTAGGCTTATCTCTAGACCCTTATGGAGAAGGTTTACTAGTCACGTATAGTAATGAGATTCAGAGTATCGAGAAACGTCGAATTGCTGATCAGTTTATTCAGTCCTATGTGAAACAGTTTGGTGATAAGAGAGTTACATCAATCGAGTTCAATACAACAAATGGAGGTTATGAGGTGAGTTTTGTAATTCATGCTTTTTTCGCATGTGTATACAGATGAAAGTTGTTTGTCCACATTTGTTCATAAAGTGATTATTCTTTGAATAACCTCATTTTGATATAATATTTTACTAGAACCATTACATATAAAATGTCTGTAACAGTTCCTCTTATTTATCGTATACCAAAATTATGTGGTATACAACAACGTCAGTTACTGGGGTACAGGTAAATCCAGCTGAGGAGTTCCGAAAGGGACAAAACGCGTGTCCCAGATTCCACTGCTTGCCATAACCCAATAAATGATGTTGAATTTCGCTTACCATCGTACAAATACTTGATTTTCATTTTAAATCAGAATTATCGATCTAAAAGGATACATTCTTATTTTATTCCTCTGTTTTCCTTAAACTAGTCGGATTTTTTGTTGTTGTTATTGGTAATTTTTATATCGATAACCCTTCCAAATATTTTATTTCAAGTTATGCTGTCAGTCCCACCCCCTACTTCGATGTGATATGCTACGGCAAGTTGGATTAAGTTGAAAAGGGTTCAGTGTGGCGAAAGCAAGACGTAGCATCAGTGGAGGAAGTTTCTTACTGTTGATCTGAGCCGTATAGGGAGATGGAGACTACCCGCTTGCATCCTCCGAGACGATAGGAATCAGTGGTTGAGAACTCTTGGTGACATGACTGAAAATCGGTCACAAAGGTGGATAAAAATTCACTCCTTGACATCTAATGCTTGAATATTCAAACTAACCTTCATCTTCAGATTATTTATTCTCTCGCATAACTTTGTCTACTTTGTTATCGCTTTTTCTATCCACTTGTTCTTTGTGTATCACTGTGAATTGTGGTAACTTTAGCCGATTCACCTGTGTGCAAAAGTTCTTCATTGATTTTGTCAGTCAGTCGGATTCGTTGAATAGACATAAAAATGAACTGAGACAGTAGTTTGTAAATCTGATTATATTTTAGTAGCAAAAGAAAATTTAGACTTTTATTTATGAATGGTTTTCAAAAAAATGTATGAAAGTGTAGGTTACATATTGTTTAATGCTTACATTTTTTCTGTTATACAGTGTGGTAAGTCTCAGTTGTTGCTTTAATGCCAAACACTGGAAATGTCACACAGTGTTACTCTTGTAAATCAACTGTTTCTTCGTAACTTGATGTATTCCCAGACAGGCAGACAAATTGCCGTAGAAGCTTGCACACAGGTTCATCAGCTGAAGCTGTCAAACTTCACAGTAGTATACAAAGAACAGGTTGAATCGAAAAAGCGTGATACCAAAGTAGACAAAGTTGTGCGAGAGAAAAAATAGTCTGAAGATAACGGGTAATGCAAATATTCGAGCTTTAAAAAACGTCAATGAGTGTTAACGTTTGTGACATTGTGACTGATTTTCAGTCATGTCACAAAGAATCCTGATTCGTATCGTCTCAGGGACCTCAGCCAGGAAATCTGTACCTTTCTATATAACTCAGACCAAAAGTTGAAGTCTTCATGGACTGGTACCATTTCTTGTTTTGGCTACCTTAAACCCACTTCCAGCCTGACCCACTATCCTAGATATGTGGAAATATGGTCATAAAGTGGTTGTATCAACTGTCAAGATAATCGAAAGGATTTAGAAACTGAATTCACTCTTCTAGAGTTGGTTGTGTACACATATTCCTAACAACTTGTACATAGATGGGAATGTGTTAAGATGGTTGCAAGATCACCTTGTTTCTTCTTAGATGTGAGGTCACTGTAGAAACTTACTTTTCGAACTGGCGCGGAATCAAGCAAAATATTATGCCGCATCATCCTGGAGAGGATGCTCTGGATTCGAAACTACCACCGGAACAGGCTGGATTCAGGAAGAACAAATCATGTGCGGACCAACGCTATGCATCATCATAGAACAGAGTATAGAATGGCAGCCGACTCTGTACCTCAACTTCATCGACTTAGGAAAGGCCTTCGACAGCGTCGACCGAGAAGTAATTTGGCAGGCAGCTGCTTCAACACTACGGAATACCACAAATCTTTATCAACCTCATTCAACAACAATATGAAGACGCCATATGCCAAGTGAATCCACAGTGGGAAGCTCAGTAGGGAAGGCTGCCTACTGTCACCCATGATCTTCCTAAATGTGGTGGACTTGATCATGCAACAAAAAGTGACGAGCGAGAAGACGGGTATACGCTGGACTGGTGAGAAGACCCTAGAAGATTTGGATTTCGCTGATGACTTGTGTCTAGTGTCGCACAAACTCGAAGATCTACAGGCAAGGACCAACAAGTTGACAGAAGAGGCGAGGCAGCGAAAACAGGACATCCTTCAAGTGGACGTAGAGAAGACACTGGTGATGAAAATACGCAACCAACAACTAACAGCATCAACAACAAGCACCAATCACCATTAACGGAGAAGCCTAAAGGAAGTAGTCTGTTTCACCTACCTCGGCAGGCAGCATCGTTTCAACTACAGGTGGCGGTGGCACAGACGAGGATGTCAAAACCAGGATCGGACAAGCAAGACTGGCTTTTACTACTCTGAAATCAGTGTGGAGATCTACTGCACTCAGCACAAAGAGCAAGATCCGGATTTTCAACACTAATGCCAGTCAAGTCAGTGCTGCTATATGGTTCAGTATCTTGGTGCGTCACAAAAAGAATTTTCAACAAACTATAGACATTCGTCAACAGCTGCCTACGCTCATTGCTGAAGATCAGATGGCCAGAAAGAATAAGCAAGAAGGAACTCTGGCCTGGTAACGAACCAACGAAGCAAGGACCTATCACCCAATAAATATGCAGAAGAAAGTATAGATGGACTGGGTTAGGCAGAGAGTGAGAAGGCCGACTGGGGACATCACGCGCCATGCCAGGCCCTCGAGTGGAATCCGAAGGTGAAACGACGAGTTGGGCGTCCGAGGTGAGGGTGACATGGAAGAGATGGTGTGAGGAAGAAATGAAAGCTTGTGGGCAGTCGTGGAGCGAGTTTCATAAGACTACAGAGAACAGAGTGGAATGGAGGCGTGCTACTGAAGCCCTATATTCCACTAGGAACCCAAGGGGAAAATAATAATAATAATAATAATAATAATAATAATAATAATAGTGTAGTTAAGCGCTTCTGTTATATTCAAGAACAATCATTGCAAAATGTCAGTTGGCGTTTAGTAATGAGTGAAGGTTTTGGGATGCTGAGATGTTTCGTTTCCTACTTGGACACCTCAGAATGGAGCAATAAAAGTTGTGGTTTCGCACTGATAAAAGTGGTTCAGCTTACAGAAAATCATTATCGAGTAATGCATAAGTCTCTCTTCATTTGTTCGTCTTTCTTATAAATGTGGCCTAAATATAAACTCTAAATCACTGCATCTTATTCATGTAAAATAAAATTGTCATTGTTTTTTTTGTTTCTTTTTATCTCAAGCAAGTTATCAATATTTTTATTCGTATATTGTTTTACTGAATAAAAATCCATTTTCAATGCCTTTTCTTCCAGTTGTTATGTAATAACTGTTGAACAAGTGTCTTGAAGTTTATTAAGGTGAGGTATATTCGAATTCCTCACATATCTAATATTATTAGAGATTTAAGGGTGAATTTGAGTAGTATGAATAACTGAATTTTGTAGACGATTATGTACAACATTCGACTGCTTGGATAATGGTAGTCAAATGTTTTGATGTGAATAACTTATTCATCTCCAGATTGTTAAATGTTTTTATCTATTAATTTTAAATTTATTGTGCATGTTAAGAAAAGACAAATAATTTTTAAAAAATTACCATTTCATTGTTTTATTCACTTAGGATAATTTATTGAAAGAAATAGCAATACCTAATTTGTTTAACTATCGTTTGAAATCAATTATTGGACTGGTAGCTGATACTAAATCAAGCCTACAAGACAAAATGATCTCTCTACGGGCCTACTTTCAAGGTGAATCATTTCATGCTGCACCGATTTCTCTAAATGCCGTTATGAATGGATTTCTACGTTATCTATCCACAAATGACCAGGTAATTTTAATATTTGCACTATTGTATTCACCAATTTTATACATATTGATCGTAAAAGCATCAGACACCAATTATATCAATCTAGATAAAGGGTAACTTATCAGGTATTCAAATAAAATTGAGTTAGAAGCATAATCAGTTTGATATCATGCGGTTTAACACAATCCTACAAAATTATTCCTATCTTATATACTTAGGGAAATTCAATGGTGATTGTTCTGAATACACTTCCTGGTTGTTTCTCAACTGTTGTTTTCTTAGTTTACCGGTATTTTATAATCTTTACTCTCTTCTCGTCTCGCCGTCATATGTTGTTTATTTATAAATATTAATTCAATGAAATTGCGACAAGTTGCCTGCCTTGAAAGTCCACAAGTGCTGAAACTAAAGTTTTATTTCTTAAGAAGAGTGAATTGTATTGCTTGGACAGAAGTAATGTGATGCTCAAGTTTCTGACATAAAAGTATTTAGAGCTATATGCTCGCTATTGGTTATCCACTACGAGTAATAATAATAATAATAATAATAATAATAATAATAATAATAATAATAGTTACGGTCCTACAGTTAAGTGTTGTATCTCAGAATTCACATATCTAATCGAAGTGTATGGGACAGTTTATTAACAAGTGTCCTCTATTACTAATGATACATTTGCAAGGGATGGCTGGGAAGATGAGGTCAGACGAAATCAACGTAGAACCTTCCACACAAGTGCATTGGTTCGACTCGCCACACTTCACAATAGTATACAAAGAACAGATGCATAGAATAAGAGTGATATCAAAATACATAAAGTAGTTTGAGATAATAAACAATTTGAAGACAAAGGTTAGTGTGAATATTCAAGCAGTAGATGTCAAGAAGTGGATTTTTATCCACCATTGTGACCAATTTTCAGCCATGTCACCAAGAGTTCTCAACCGTTGATTCCTGCCTCTTCGAAGACCCCAACCAGTTAGTTTAAATCCCCCCATATGGGTCACACCAACAGCAGGAGACTTCATGGACTGGTGCCACGTCTCGGTCTAGTTACCCTGAAGATGATAAGACGCTGGTTAGTAGATATAACTTATCTAAGTTATCACAGTAAAAAGGTTATTTGAGCAATAGATTTAAAACAACACCATGTCATGGCGCATTTCTGACTATTTTTTGAGCACTGAGCCTTCAGGGGTTCGACTCTCAAGACTGACCAGCTAAAACCAAAAGGTTTAATTTCTGTTATGTACAAGGTGTCAATCAGTAGGAAGCCTAAGTAGTTTACTGGTTTGACCGCTGATTAACTCAATTTCGGATTTGCCGACTGATTTTTCACGTCCAACACGAAATATAATGAACCATTGTTGTCTCATTTAGTTTGGGGTATATGTTCCAAGTTTAATCGATTGAATTTGACCTGGAAATTAAGGCTTTGCAGCTGAATTGGTTACCAATCCTTTCTTCGATTCATGAATGTGTTACCTCTAGAACCAGTATATTACTACTGAAACGCAGGAAATGATGTGAGTGGTTCGATATTGCTAGATGCAAGCAGATTGACTGCTTTCTTCGGAACAGCAAGCTTCACTGACTTACATCTTTTCGTGTACACTGTTAATCAAACCAGTCCCGGCTAATGTGAATTGTTTTCGAGTATTTAAATGAATGTGATGGGACTTACTGTTTGTGTGTAACTCAGTTACTCATGTATTTCTCTAGTATTTATCAAGTTTTCTATATCTTCAAATCAAAAGTTATAAAGAGTATTGCTCTGTGTGGACATGGTAGCTCAGTTGGTAGAGCATCGGGCCGGAAACCCGGTTGTCGCTAGTTTGAATTCAGCCGTGGTCCAAATTTTCATTTCATCTTCAAACATCACCCAATATCAATATTCTATTTCGATTTATTTGATTTCTATTGTTTACTAATGATTTTTAAAATCTTTCTTTATTCACAGACTATATGCCCTGGCTTAGCTGCGAGTGATACTCCACCACAAATTCATGTTGCTAATCAACCACTGCCTAAAACCAAAGAGGAAAGTGCCAGACAAATCGATCATATCAGAGGTCTTATACTTGTAGCACTTGCAGGTTTTCCATTGGCATCAAATATGCTGTTATCTGTTTCATATTTAGCCTCAAGTTTTGGCTTTTTCCCAATCTATGAAACTGTAACTAAGGCGAAGCATTTACAATTTGTCTGTGGAGTGAAATTAGGTAATTGGAAATACCATGCTACTCATCCACTTTTTATTGCACCATCGAAAATTGTCTGATCAAGAAATTATTTAATAAGTGCGCTATAAAATCGTTCCTTGACCTATTTAGCATAAATTTCTTGACATGTGTTGTCTCATTCGGAGGGGATGTCAGAAGTGCTGTTGTTTCATGCGTAAACTTTTTATGCAGATATATCGTCTGCTTAAAATAGTTTGAAGTGGTTTAATCATTGGTAGGAAATCATAGTGGCTTCTTTAGTTCTGGAGACGCTTATTTACTTCAAAATGCTGATGACTGAAATCCTTCCTGAATCGTTTTGTACTGAGATGCGAAAATTCGTGTCCTTCAACATACCATTTCAAAATGGATGTAACAGAGCATTACTTTGTTAACATTTTACAACGAATCATGTATGTATTTTGGATCTTACTACATTTTGTTTTTGTAAAAAAACATTCGTTTGACCACTCAGTAGTACATGAGCCTTATGAAACACGATCCTGTCGATACATGGTTTTACTCATAACACTAAGTGCTGCGGTTCTCTAAGCGTTTCAGATTGCTCAAAAGGTGTACATATATCGCACAGGAGTGAGAAAAAGGTATATATATATATATATATATATATATATATATATATATATATATATATATATATATATATATATGGATGTACAGGTTGTGAATATTTTGTTTGTGGCTGCACATAAAAATTTTGATAAGCAATGGGATCATACTACTTTTAAGTAGTCATGTGATGTTGGTTTTAAAAAATTCAAGGGATCCATTTTAAGCATTTCGTATGATCAGGATGTTATATTTGGTATGCATTTTCACTAGCTCACCGGTCATCAAGTTGATTGTCGCTTAAGTTGAAATTCAATACACGTCAGTGTTATAAACAGTTGTGACTATAGATAATTACATCGGTTGTTCTTTGGTGACGATATCAGAGAAATGTTTTGTTCATGTGCTAGATTTATAGGTTACTGTATTATTGAGGTTATATGTCACTGGTTAGATTTTCAGAAGAAAGGAAAGACTGCGTAGTATTCCTACCTTGTTCTTCTACTTCAAAAGTTAACCAACATAATTGAGTTTCCTTGGTGTTATTCCTTCACTGGTCATTTCACGGAAGTTGAACATTTTCAGACAGATGATATGAGATGGATATAACTCTATGGAAGTAATCTTATCTATTTATGCAAACAATGGAAGAAATAAAAGGCAGGTTAATATATTCTTCATTCTGTCGTGTTCAAGAGATTTATGTGATTCCCAACAACCGATGACTGGTATCAATCAGTTTTGATGTGTTAAATTACACGGGAAGACAGACGCCTAGCAAAAATATATTTGATCAATATTCGTTATCCATTTGATGACTAGTTCTGTGTGTTGGGTCTGTTCTAGGAACCTATGCTTTTCTTACATCTGTGTGAATGAAATGGCACCCTATTTATCAGAGGAAAATGATTGTTCACTGTTTACATATTATATCGAACCCGAAAGTAAAGGATTTCTCGCTTGAGTTTTATTGTCATGATAGAAGCTAAATAAATTTCTTTCAAATCATTTGGTTTTACAATGGACGTTTTCCGTCTCCGATTCATTATCTGATATGATTCTTTATCGTGGTTCATTATATTTCCAGTTGGTAGTGTTTTGTTGGTGCTTTGGCAACCTCTAAAAAATGTTAATGATGGATAGTAGCTAGCAGCAAAATCCAGGACGCGCGTTTCGTCCCTTCTGGAACTCGTCAGCTGGATATTCCTGCCTCCCAGTCAGGGTTGTTGCTCCCACTAGGATTCGAACCCGAGACCGATTGCTTCAAACACCAGAGACTAGTCAGGTTTGGGCCAATCAACAACAGGATAATACAAATAATAACACTGGAACTATACCCGTCGCACAAGAAGTGGCTATCGTGGCTCGGTTGACTAGTGGATAACTCCGTGGCGTTTGGAGCGATCGGTCCCGAGTTCGGATCCCTATGGGAACAACATCACTCACTGGGAGGCAGGTACATTCAGCTGAAGAGTCCCAAATAGAATGAAATGCGCATTCTGGATTCCAGTGCTAGCCACTACCCATCGTTACTAAAAGTAACAACACTCTAAAAATGGTCTTATAATAAAATAATAAATGAAAAAGGTGAATTGAAACGTAACCAAGTGGAGAGAATCACTGATAGTCTTTACTGTAACCAAGAAACCATAGAATGAAGTTAGAAATCGGGCTTTAAGAAGCTTTGTGTTTACCGACAGTGTTGAAACCCATATATTATACATTGTACACCAAGATCAACTTCTAAATGCTTTCACATATGTTTATATGTTTTTATTCTCAATTGTAAAACACCTTTAAATGTAGCAGGCTTCCACAATGAACTATGCAGTGTGGGAAACCTAACAAGATATGAATTATTTCATAAGTTTACAACTCTGAATTGGCACAGGATAGATAATCGAAATGTCTGTATTCTATTTTTCTTGTTTAGTTTGTGTTTGTTTTTGCATGAAGTTTATGCTGATGAAGGTAGTAAGTGGCGCACGAAATTGGAAATAGATGTCAGTCTACTCTTCACTACATTATCATTCATATATTTAATTATTTTATAATTTTTTTCTGTTATTAGTACCGTATTGGATATCTATCTATGTGTGGGATATATGCCTATTTTCCCTGTCTGTCACTGGCATTCTACTTTGCTTTGTGGCATTCGATTTGGAGCAATTCGCTGTCGGTGAAAGATTTCACAACCTAGTTGTACTGTTCGGTTTATTTATGTGGGCTGCATTACCGCAAATGTATCTACTTTCTCGGCTATTTCGATCACCTACATCTGGTCTGGTGTGGCTCACAGCTATCAATGTGTTCACGGGTAGGTTTTGCCCTTGTTAAAAACGGAGATACAGACAACCTATTTCATGTTTTTTGTGTTTGTTATCTCTGTGCTATCAAAGTACTCAATACTCAACTCGTAAACTGACCTAGCTATCAATTGTTTACTTATATATGCCTAGTTATATAGTTTATCTCGACACAGAAGTGTTGCGAAAGTTACAAAAGCATAAGTAATAAAACAAACTGCAAACAAAATCTTGATAATGTGGAACTTATTTGTAACCATAGTAAAGTAATGCTTAAAAGCATGTTTGACACTAGCAATAATTTCAGGTTACATTGACTAAAGTCTTCAACCACTGATGTGTATTATTCAGCCCTTTCCAGTCAGTGAGTCTACTTTGTCTCAAACAACTCTGCCCTCCGGTCACTGACTTCACAGGTCGCTGACATTTCGCAATTCAACCATCTTTAAAATATTTTTATCCTTCGTTTTCTCTTTCAAAACTTCAGATGAAGGTATATAACATTCTCATTACAACTGCTGACACAACTACTCAGATTAGTGAGAATTTTATCATCGACTAGGTTTATATGCCGAGTGCCTTTTCAGTTTGTCGAAATGGTTCTGCATATTTTTCAGTCTTCTTGTGTAACAGAACTGTGTCATTTGTGTACATTTAATTTACTGTTAAGTGAAATATGGAGTGTAAACTGCAGCCTAAGTAGATCTAGGTGCATTCTTTGAATACACTAATCTATAGCGCAATTCTGTTGATAGCTAGAAACATTTATTTGCAATCCCTATCAGTTATTGTTGAGATTACTACCTTAGTAATTTGTATAACATTGCACACTTGCTTGTTTTTGAGCATATATGCAAGCTATATGCATTAACACCATGGAACTCAGATATGGCACCAGTCCATAAAGTTTTTGACTGTTGGTCTAAGTCGTGTGGGGAGACGTAGTCTACCTGGTTAGGGTCGCAGAGACTATATGAATCAATGGTTAAGGATTCCTGGTGAAATGGCTGAAAATCGGTTACATTGACGCTGTTGTATTCACTATTTGACATCTAAAGCTTGAGTATTTGCACTAACCGTTATCTTCAGATTGTGTATTCTCTCACACATCTTTGTCTTCTTTGATATCACTCTTTTTCTATCCACCTGTTCTTAGTATATTATTGTGAAGTGTGGCAATGTGAGCCAATGCACTTATGTGCAAGATTCTACATTGATTTTGTCTGTCTATCTAGTACCATGGTATTGAAGAATATAGCTTATTCGATGAAAGGGGGGTTGGGTTTTAATTTTCGCAAAGTATTCAAAGTCGATTTTCATCACAATTTGACACGTGTAAAACAACGATCTATTAGAGCTAAGCAGTACTAGCCAGTTATTCTGTTTTATTCTGGCGTTCTTTACTTCTGTCGAGTAGTATTCCTACCTTCTATTGTCAGTATTAGTTAATAATGACCTTATGTTTAACCATTTTCACCAGTGTTGTCTTTCTATCTGAATATTTCATGTTTACCAGCATCTATTGGATTAATACTTGTGGGTTTACTGTCGACTCCTGCGATACACCAACAAGCATTAGGAATAAACCTAATGTATTTTTGGATTGCCATCTCTCCATCATTTTGTTTAGCTCATGGTATATTCGCATTATTTATCAATTATCAATTCCGTCAAATATGTGACTCGATATTTGTACAGGTTCTGTGTCATTTTGAACCGGCAAATTCCTGTTGTTTAAGTAAGTTTCTTGTTGTTTTTGTTTGGTGTTTGCTTTACATTTTTACGTATTGAATGCTATTCTTGGTGTGAAAGTTGTATATTACACTGTGAGTTCTTCAAAACCTCAAGATAGATGGTCCTAAATAATATTATGATTAACTGCAATCATTCAGTTCAGGGGTTTTATGTAATAACCTGTTTTTTTTATTGTCTGTTAGTCTCTACTTTCATAGAAAATTAATTGATTTTTTTTCGCAATTAAACCTGGTAAATGAGATGGTATACACATTGTGTATCCTTATTATGTGATAATTTTTGCTTGTTCGTTTAAATTTGTTCACTGCCTCATGAGATTACAGCAACAAGGATACACATTTTTGTGAATTTCCTGTTCATCAATCTATACTGAAATTTGCACAAAATATATACAAATCATTTCTGTTTTTTTTTCTACCGGTTAGTTTCAACCTCTGATTTGATTGGTAAACAGTGATGGAAGCTTGGGAGAACTCTGATTTACTATCACATCATGGAAATAAGCATCTTTTTTCGAATTCGCATTAAACTTACTTTTTAAATGGTTGTATTACAAATAATGTGTATCCATTTTAGTCTGTTTACTAGAAATGTCACACAGTTAAGCAATATCATTCACTGGATAACGTTTCGGACATAATTCATTGTCCATAGTCATATGAGATAACTCCACAACTTTAAGACAGAGTTGATGCAGTTCTAATTCTTCCATATATATGGGACAGGTACAGAATCATTCTTATCGCCTGTATTCGGTGTTGACTCGATGAACAAAGGTTGGACTATCAATCTCTATCTCCACTCTACTAAGTTAGTTTTAAGGATTTCCACTCGGTCCCACCCTTTCGTGTAGTTGTGTATGTAACTGCATGCCTCGCTATAGTCGGACTTTTTTCTAGATACCTTATCCTACTAGGACGCACCAATTTTGATCTATTTTATGCAATTCTTTCCCTTCATAAATTTAAGTAGAGCAAGGACAACAGCTTTAACAGAATAGCATGGATCCAATTTATTTCATGGTTTCTCATCAGCTGTTTACAACCTAAGACAATTTTAACACCAGCTTGACAGAAAATTATCATACCGATGATATTTTTAGTTCGAGCCGACCTTTTTCTGTCAAGCTGATTCGAGTATGGAAACAATTTGTATAAATTGATGTTAAAATTGTCTTAGGTTGTAAGCAGCTGATGAGAAACCACGAAATAAATTGGATCCATTCTATGCTGTTAAAGCTGTTGTTCTTGCTCTGTTTAAATTTTGATCTAGCCGGGTTTTTGTGCTTGGATAGCCAAGTTTAATCTGTTTAACCTAGTAATCATTGCAAGGAATTCGGTAAACTAAGTTATCCCGCCAAATCAGATCAGTAAGATTTATTTAATCTATAAAGCTTGTTTCTGAGCGAGTTCGTTGATCTGAATGCCACTTTAGTCCCAGCCTTACTAAGAATGCTTTGCATCGCTTTTGAGGTGCCTTCTTTGCATGGTGACACAACAGAGGCTTTAAATTCTGTCTCAAGTCTATCACTATTACTACTGTTATTAGTAGGATTATTATCAATAACACCTGTGCCACTAATAATATTGTTGCTCATATTTTTCTTTCGGTTTCTTATGGGTTCATTTATAAATCTAAGTGGGTAATTATTGAGACTCAAGATATTCTTGATGTATCTAATTTCTTGTCGTAGATTTTCTGTCCTACTGGTGAGCTTTTTCGCTTGTATTACTCAGGCACTTAACCAAGCCTACTTTAACTGAGATGGGTTGAGATGATTTGAAGTTTAAGTAGCTATTTACTTCTATGGGAAACCTTCCTATTACTTGATATGATTATGGACAATAAGTTATGTCCAAAACGTTGTCCAGTAATTAATATTGTTTTAGTGTGTGACATTTCCAATAAACAAACTAAAATGGAAATACAATCTGCCACAGTGGCAAAGTTTTACCCCTATATTAATGTGTATTCACTTGATCAGAGTTAGAGGTCAGTAGTGTATACTGGAGAATGTTTTTGAAGATTTGCTAATAAACTTGTTGCTTTGCCTACTTTGATTAAGGGAATCAAATGCGGGAATTGTATTAAAATTACTTGTAGATAAATTAAATTCAAATGGGGGAAATATTAAATCATTGTTAAAAATATGGGAGAGAGAAATACGAAGTCGATTACCTGTTCATTTTCAAAGAAACATTATTCATGAACCTAAAATTCAAGGCTGATCAGGCATCAAATTTACTCGAGAATCATCTATATAAATCAGTCAATAGAATGTTCTTTAAAGCAAAATTCGACTTTTACTAGGCATAAACTGCCTTCCGTTTGCGTGGAGAATAAGCTCCCTCATCTGGCCGCCTCTGTATGGATCTACCAGTTCACCTGCTCTTGTGGAACAAGGTACATCATCCGTAGTTAAATAATGCTTTCTACACGTATCCGAGAACATATTCCAGGAAGTCTGTTAGAAGTTCTATTCTAGAATATTTGATTGATTTCCATCACTCAAGAAACCCAGATAATGACCTTAAAATTGTTCATCGAATTCGCCCAAACCTTCAACGTTTCTTCGTTTTCAGTGCTTTAAAACAGCGGAGCCCTTAGCTATTTTTATAAACTAAAGCCTGATCTGTGTGTTCGAAAGAAGTATGTACAGTAACTGTTTTTACCATGGTCATGGCATTCTCACATCCCCACTGGTTTCCCCCCTCCCCCATTGTTAAATTTATCTTTTTATCTTTCCTTTATCACTGTTATTATTGCGATAATTACCTTCACTGTGATTCTGTTCAGGCTACTGGGTTTCTGGCTCAGTGGTCAATGGTTCGAATCCATCCGCAACCCAGAGTTTCATTTCACCCTCAATCATCACTCAGTATCAATACTAGTCTGCCAAACCAAGGCTGACCCAGATAGTCAGAATGATAAGGTATATTCTTGACATAGGCTACAGAGATTTATATGCGTAAAAATTAGTTTCTGCATCTGACCCTTAAATGAATTACTGTCTGGTCTTCAAGGTCACATGTTCTGGTTAATCTCGTCAGGAATTGTTATGCTTCAATCATTGTCACTTAGAGGTATTGTATCATCGATATGTTAGAAGCATGTATCCATTTAGTATGAAGTAGGTTTCATATTAATGGTTCAGTTTCACCATGGATACGTTAACTAATAGTTCACCTATTTAATGTTACTATTCAATAAACAATATGTATGTTAATTATACAGTGTAGGATGTAAATCGTTCATGACTTTCAGTAAGCATCTGAAATTGCTATTTTTTCTTCAATTTTATTACGTATTCTATTTAACGATTGATTTCCTCGATGTAAACATGATCTCTCGATGTATAATTTTCGTAATTAGCGAATGCGAATACTTCTCTGAATTATACTCCCAAGAGTCTTCTAGTATGAAAAAAAAAATATTCACTCAACTTTTTCTGACATTATTATCAGAAGGCTACTCAAGAGAGTGTTGACATATTCGGTAGTTCTTAATCCCTGAGGAGTGAATCCATGATATCATTATTTGCACATGCTATTCCATGTAAACAAAGGTTAAATACTATTGACAGTTTTTTACTTTCAGGTGAATATCGAACCATTCATTCAAAAGCACGTTACCAAGCTATATTCTTACCAAATAAAAAACCAGCCATAAAACAACCTTCATTGAGTAACCTTTAAGTATTGCAATATATCATTATATTCTAATTATTTATTTCTATTCATGTTTTCAACTTCATTTATCACATTTATTTACAGAAACTTGTGATCCATTTTGTGCATATTGGACTAAAAACGAAATGTCTTATGAAGTTGGTGGTATCGGAGTTCATCTTACTGCTCTGGCTGCACATGGTTTAGTGTATATTACCCTTGTACTGGTCATAGATTCTTCTATAGGAAGATACTTGAAAACTTCTCTTGTTGCACGTAAATTTAATTTTTTTCTATGGATTACAATTACGTATATATATATATATATATATATATATATATATATATATATAGTTACTTTATTCCAGACAATAACTTTTAGTACAGTTTTGAATTATCAGTGTGATATTTCAACAAATTTACTACTTGTACAGTATTTTTAAATTAACTAACCATGTCAGTTAAACAATGGTGATGATATTAGCAGTATGATATGGAAGTTAATGGTCAACAACCAGTAGTGTGTAGGTCATCATCTAGTTTTTATGTTGTCGCACTTTGGTTGGATAAAAAAGCACACATAAGTTTGACGGTGGAGGTCCAGTCATCATCCAGTAGGAAAATTCGCTGTCCCAGTCGTTCGTTCCTGTAGTAGCTATAGGGCACCATCTTGTAGTCTTGTTGTAAACCTATCTAATGATAGGTTGACGACATTATAGAAGTGCACGAGACATTTGAATAGTTAAAACAAATAAAGAACAGGAGCGATACGGTGGAACATGTTCTATGAAGTATTTTTGGTAGCCCAAAATTTAAACAGGCTGCCAATAAACGTACTAGTATTTAAAATCATTTTTATTTAGTATCCACATTGTGTGGAAGCTTTAGAGTAATTTCCCTTAATAAAAGTTCACATCAAGTGCACATGCATCGAAAATCAGATTGTTAAATATCCATTTCACTTCATTCTCGAAGTTCTGTCTGAAATCCTTTACGGTTATCAGTAGATTGCAAAATGAGCAATTGCTTGCAATTGCAGATGCCTGTGCGATCTGAGTTGTCAAAACGAACCTCTGCATTTAAAAGGAAATGGTAGTCAGCTTGAATCTGCCATTGTAGGAATTACAATGTCGTCCAGTCTTTGCTCTCAACTGTTATCCTTATCTTATATTTTTGTTTTCTTTTCCTGATTTGTTTCTCTTAATTAGCCTTACTCCTATTACTGTTGTTATCATTATTATTTA